GATAGTTGGTTATTGAAACTCAAAATGAGTTTGTCAAGATAAATAAATTTGTATTAAAAGTACAGAGTGTCAATAGTTAGTTTTAAATGGAATTTGCTTGTTTGTTTGTCATAACTGTATCTGCTTCCACTTAAAATCTCAAATTACATACTAAGGATATGCAACCTTTCTGAAGTTGAAGGTTGCATTTGCCTTTTGAGCATGTTATAGGGAGATGCGCACCCAAAATGGATGTCACCCAGCAAATTATGTTTGATTTTATATAAGTTTAATAATCTCCTTATTAAACTGCTTCAGTTTTTCATTCTTCTTCTTTTTATCATATTAAAAATTATAATTTGGGAGTCCTCCTTTGGGCAAGATTCAGTAGGGAGGTTATACTCAAGGTGCTGGATAAACTCTGAGCCCATAGATTAACCACCTATTGAATTTCATGAATTAAGCACCTTTAAATTTCATGAACTGATTCATTTAGTCAATTATTTATCTTTCTAAGCATAAGGTATGGGTGACAGTTAACAACTTATATAGTCATAGGAACAAACTCTGGTATGAGACAATTATGTGAAGCGTGAACTTCATTAGTAAGATAATTCAAATTGAGAAGGAACTGGGATGCAGTCCTATCTAAGCTGGCTTCAGATCCTATTGTGTAATACATAGAGAAGGTAAGTTCTCATTCTTACTGAGAAATTTGTAAATTATGTTTGAATACCTCCCGTACTTTGTGTGAGACCCAATGCTACTATCTAAGAACCTGCACTAAACGTACAGCTTCATTATTAAGTAAGGTGATGTTCCATAGTTAACTTATGGATATAGTTACTTAAAAGGAAAAGCATGATATCTCTTCTACCAACACATCAGTTACATTCTGAAGCCATAACACTGCTGTGCCCAGTGCAATGAGGTTAGCCAGAGCCATTCACAGAATATTAAAACATTCTTTGTTTCCTTCTTTTTTAGGTTACTTTTCTAATGATAGTCCAGTGATGAATCCTTTTCCTGCTGTAGGTGAGTCTTAAAAAATATTTTATTTCATATATAGAAAACATATCAAAAAGAATTGTTGCTCTAGGAGTGTGTGTATGTGAGCATGACTGTGATTCATTAAATGTTACCCTTTGCTTTTTTGGAGGATGGGAAAGGGAAACAACATCTCACTGTTCCTAGAAATTAAATTAGCTATTTTGTAACTTGCAGGAGGATATTAAAGATTTGGGAGAAATTTCCTTCAGAAATGTTGAAATCCAACTCCTTTTTAAAAACCAGCATTGCCTGCAGTTAGCATGAGCCATCATAGCAAATTTCACTCATAGTTTTACATAATATGTAATCAGGATACAGCAACACTTTTCTCCCAAGTCATCAACATCCTTCAAATAGGGTGCTATGCTCAGAAAGGAGCCATCCATACAAAGCTATGCCAAAAAGCCATACAAGCCCATACAAATAGAGTGCTATGCCTGGAAAGAAGCCATACCACTAGATATGACTTGTTCAAGCCTATATACTGCCCCAAAGGTACACATTTTCTGCTTTTAACTATTATTGTGAGTCATTCTACTGCAGGCAAGGGAGATAACAAAGCTGTTAAGCAAAACAAAATTAAATAAAACTAAACAGAACTTGGGGGGAAAACAAATAGTCCCTGGCTGCTATTGTGTTATTAATCAAGTGTATTATCTAGGCTTATTCTCTTCAGTGTTTCCAAGTAGGAAGCGGTGGATTCATGTCATAGAACTTTAAGTTTCCTCAGAACAGATGCTTATCAAAGGTTCCTCATTGAAAAATCCTACAGGGATCAGTATCAGAAGCCTCCTTGAAAATAGAGTTAGCTCTCCACAAATATGTCATGTTTTGTTAGAGAGATATCTCACATTTCCTCTTGAAGCTCAAGGCAGCTCCTTCTAATTTCCCTCAATATATTGGGCAGAGAATGATTGGCCGAAAGTCACCCAATAGGCTTTGAAGATTGAGGTGAAGCTGAACCTAGATTTCCCAAGTCCAGGTCTATCACCTCAACCAACGTGCCACAGTGCATACCCCCCCCCCGCCACATGACATAATTGCCCATTGTGGTCCTTGCCCACTGAAAACATTAAATAAAAAGACCCCTGACTGCTGAAAGTTTGGGCATCCCTGACGTAAGTATTTAGAAGATGAATTTTATTTGCTTAATCATTCTTGTGGAAAAAGCTTATTTGCAAAATTGGAGTGTTTTGCTTGGGTCAGGGGTCTTTAAGCAAACTATTAGCATTACTTAGATAATACATGGGCCTCTACTCCTTGCAGATCAGGAGCTGTGGAAGCAGATTTTAAAGGCTATATTGGAAAGTTTATGCACTCCCTGACTATTTTGCACTCTCTGACCTTTCTGCACCCTCTGACTTTAGTGATAATTCTGCAACTTGGTGAGGTCCAAGGGCATATTGATATCCCTTTCTAGTAGTTAATGATTTGGTGATTGTATAGATGTCAGACAAGTCTGCAAGTCAGCTATAATCATTTTAAAAATCGAGATATTATGATTGAAAGAGCATGCCACCTTGCATAGTCACTCTTTGGTACCAAAGTTCACATATTTTGGGTGTATATGAAAAGGATTTCAAATGTCAAACACATGACAAAGATGTTTTGAACTACAAGTACAAGACTCCCTTTCCAGGAATGCAGGATTTGATGTACGTTACAAATGCTGATGGTTACCTTTATAGTCCCACATCAGGGAAGAACAATCTTTTTCCAATAGAGAGTTTCATAAAAGATTACCGCCAATGATAGAGAAAGCCATCCCTTCTTTCTGATTAGGGTCATATGTTGTACTAAATTATAATATAGTTTGTTTGGCCATGGCTTTTTATTGCCTGAATCCAACCCTCATTTATTCAATAATCTACAGTTAAACAAAGCATAATTTAGTGTGATATGTGAATCCAGTAAATTATGGAAAATTTCTCTCTCTTCTGGATGGCATTTTCTTTCTTCTTCCATTCTTGGCAGATGGGTGTGAGGGAAGGGATAAATCACTCTAGAGACCTTTTTGCAGAGATCTTCTGAAATCAGATCAATGTGATATTAGATTAAGGGCCCAACACTATTCAACAAGGTTCAGTCCCAAATTCCTGTATCAACTTGCACATATATTTCATAGGCTTTCTTCTGAATGCCTCTACCATCTGCTGGAACATGAATAAAACCAGAGATAATGCTTCCATATGATATTTCATCTCTACTTGTGAAATTTCATCTTTTTCATGTGCAGACACACTTTTGGTGTAACAGAAAAAAAATACTAGGTTCCTCTAAGGTTTTAAATCTGTTTGTAGGGCTGTAGGAACCTGAAGAAGAGTAGAACTAGTAGTAGTGAGGGAGCTGACTGAAGGACTCAGAAAAAAAATGTCTACCCCATTCTTTCAACAGAACTTTCTGCTTGATTGTAGTCTTTTCTATAAATGGAAAGTGCAAGAGTGGATCAAACCCTCCATTCATCTATTTCATTGAATCAAAGAGTTGAAAGAGATTGTTTAGGCTATCAGGTGGAACCTTCTATTCAGTGCAGGAATCCCAATGAAAATTTTCACAATAAGTAGCCGTCTGTCCGCTAACTGAACACATCTAGTGAAGGAGAACCCACCATCTCTCTAGGTAATTGGTTTCATTGTCAAAATACTGCTACTGTTAGGATGTTTTTGTTAACA